TAGGAAGTGGCTTTAAATAGATGTGTGTTTATGTCAGTGTGAAGAAAAGCCTTCATTTTGGGGTTGAACCAAACACGTGACGTGTGGGATCAAAGTTCTGTCTGCTTCAGATTCCAGGTCAAAGATGACGTTCTATCGTCCGCCATTTTGACGGAGACATTTGACAAATGTATCATAAAGATAAATACATGTAGACGGTACAATCCTTTGTTCATGTTATCTCAGGCAATTTGACTAAATCTGAGGTCAATGATCACGATTAATCATGATTAATCGTGAATAATCCACAGCGACACTGGGATTAATCCGATAAAAAAATACTTCATTAAAACAGCTTCATCCTGACATATACATATAAAAATACTACTACTATAAAAGTACACTCCTCATGTAGTAAATATGTTAACACTGAGACCAGATCCTCTCTGATTCTGTGTTTGACTTTGAGAGGGATTTGAACCTCACTCGTTCACTTGTTTTCTCTCACACAGATCGTGGTCCTGTGGAACTGTGAGAAGCCCCTCCCCCCCAGGAACAAGTGGCCCTCTACCAGCGTGCCTCTGACTGTCATCGAAGGGCAGGCCAAGGTAACACCTGCTGCCTTTTCACACGTTTTCCTCCGGACTCTGTGCAGACAGAGCAGGAACGCGGCGTCAATAACACAAATATTGAAATAGCGGCGTGCGGCGAGTTCAAACTTCTTCACCGCGTTAATTAAATGCTAATGGAGTGTTGTTTCCTGCCGCGGACTCACCGCTGCTGCGGAGATTGAAGTGGTGTGAGTTTGAGTCCAGGTTTATTAGAGTCGGCCTGAGAGTGTGACTCGGCTGAGGCGGCCGTGATTTGTGGGATCAGGGGCCAATCACGGGCCAATCACGGGTCGGCACGGTGGCTCGTCTGAGCAAACAACCATTTTTAATGTGGTAAAAAAAAAAAAAAAGACAGAGGAAATGATTAATTTTCTCATTAATTCAAACCTATAGTTTGAAGAGAGAAGAGAGCCGTCCTCTCTCTGTTCCTGACTCACTCCATTCACCTCACACATTTTCAATAGTTTTCTATTTTTTTTGTTTTGTTTTCTTCACTCTCACCTTGTAAACACACACATTTGTTTTCCTTTTCAGGTCATTTTATTTTTTATCGCGATACTCTCGCCTGATTTTCCACCAAATTCTCTCTCTTTTTGTCTTTTACTTTTTTATTTTTTTATTGATTTTTCTCTTCATTCTCCTGATGGCTGAACATCTGAACATCAGTGTTTATGGGACTTTAAGAACGTGTTTTTACGTCCTTGATTTCACATAAACAAATAAAAATGAATGAGCCCCAAAATTTAAACACAAAAATAAAAAAAATCACAAACTGGAACAGAGAGGTTTCAAACCTGAACTCAGAGGGGCCGTCCACTACAGACCTGAACCGACTGGACGGTCCAGGGTCCGAGGTCTGGACTCCCTGACACCTGAGCTCCTGCTCAGCTTTCTATGATCCGTCCATCAATATGATCAGAGCAGTGATCCATGGACTGGACTGGATCTCATCTTCATCAATCATCCTCACCCCCCCGCACCCCCTCCCATCTTCTCTATTGATAAATTCATCTTCCCATTGATCCTGGATCCTCGGCCATGCATTTAAATGACGGCCAAAAGAGCAGAAAACAGGACGAGTTTAAAGGTCAAGTGGAACCTGATACTGATATCTGATCCAACTGAAGGTCAATTCGGGGGGAGGGGGGCGAGCAGGGGGGTGACTACTACCTGTAGAGAGACTGTCCTCAAATATCCTCCGGTTTATCCTGTGTTTTTAATCCAGCCTGGAAATCCTAAATCCTAATTCAGTAATAGACCGGGAATCGAACCGACGCTCGGAGTCAGAGTCAGAGTCAAACTGTTGCTGAGACATTGTCGACACATTCACTACATTTCCTTCAAAACATTGAAAATTCCCACATGGTCCCTGCCCCTCACTTTGGGAACCATTAACCACTGAACTGTCCCTGATCTCAGAGAAAACTAATCTCAGTCTGGAGGCAGAAAAACACCGCCACAGCTGCAGGGTGAAACATGAGGGGCGGGGGTATTTAGACGGCATGGTTTCAGCTGATATGACATTTTCAACAACATGGACCCAGAGCTGACATCTGCTGTACTGGAGGAGCCCCCGGGCCACGTCTTTATTAATTACTTTTACAGTTTGATCCACTCCCCCACACAGGAATCTACAGTAACTCTGTATCAAAGCATCTGACACAGCACTTCATCCATCAGGGGGCAGGATTCATCCATCACCAGCACCAGGCAGTGATTGAACTGGACGGGTGATTTTCATTGGTTAATGGACGTGGAGGGAATTCATTCTGAGTCACAGCTCCGCCCACCTCCACCTGCCGACCCCCCCCCCGC